TGTGTGTGTATGTTATGTATTGTATGTATTCAGATATGCGTATTTGTTTGTATGTATGTCTATGAGTGGATGTATGTATACATAGATGCTTCCTTGCACGTCTTTGCATGCATATATGCAAGCTCGCCAAGACAAAGAGGAAAAGAAGCGAGAGAGCGCCCCTTCCTCCTCCTCCTCTTAGACGAAGGCCGCATATCCTTTAGGGTTAGGCGAGGGACGCGGCGATGAAGGAGCAAAGCATCTTATCTTCCTAAACAGTCTATCTAAAAGCGGCAAAGGCTTCCAGATCCCTTCTAATGGTCTTGCTGGAAAAGAGCGACAAAGTCCTGTACAAGACTGTTGAGAGATGGAGCGAGAAAATCCCTTCTTGGATAATATACCGAGAGGGTGGAGGGGGAGGGGGAGGAGGGGTAATAAGGGGTAGGGAGGGGGTGGTAAGGGAAAGAGAAGGGTGATAAGGGGTGGGGGGGGTGGTGTGGGGCTAGTAGGGAATATCAGGGTGGGGAGGGGGATTGTGAGAAGGGGAACGGGGAGGGGATTGGTATAGGACGGGAGGGGATAAGGAACCAGGGGGTGGGGCACTGGGGTGGGGTAATAGGGAAAGGGGGAGGAGCAAAAGGATGAAAGGGGAGGGATGGTAGAAGGGGGTGGGAAGGGGCTAGAGGAGGAAGAGGAGGAAGTTAGACGACGTAAGAAAGAGAAGGAGGATTAGGGAGTGGACCCGGGGGAGGCAGGAAGGGAGGGCGAAAGGAATAAAGGAGCTGATACGAAGAAGATTGACGCGCCATAAGATGTTCTGGGGAAATACCCAATCATAAGAATAAGGACTTTGATCGAATGTTCTCAATGAAGATTATATCGCCCGTTGTTGATTTTATTACTTCCCGCAACTTTTCCCCACTACATAATTTGGTCCCTCCAACGTTCCTCCTCGTACTCTTACAATTACCGTAGATAATACGTATGTTGATGCATGCGAAAAGAAAGTTTCAACTAAGAAAAAGAAAAGAAACAAAACATAAACATATATATATATATATATATATATATATATATATATATATATATTATATATAACTAATACTTAAAAGACGACAGTCACATAACTTCACAACCCTCCGTCACCATTCCAAAAGGAAGCGCTCCGTCCGAAGCGTAAGGAGCCAGCTACATATACGCATGATCCGGAAGCCGGAACGGGGCGGCGAAAACGTGGGTGTGAAATCTACGGCTCTTGAGATAATTACACATGTGAAGGCATATTAAGCCGGAGTCCTTAGATCCGTAATTAGCTGCTGCCGGCAACGCTCGCTCCTCGAGACTTGGCTAATAACGGATGTCAAAGTCGATGCTTTTAGAAAAAAAATATCGAGCGATCTAAGTGCTCGTTGATAAACATACTAACACACATGCATTCACATATGAATACTATATATACACACACACACTCACACGCATATATACACACATATATATATATCATATATATTTGTGTGCGTGTGTATATATATATATATATATATATATTATATATATATATATATATATATATTATATATATATATATATATATGTATATATATATATATAATATATATATATATATATATATATATATACAATATTATTATATATATATATATATATATATATATATATATATATATATTATATATATGTATATATGTATATATATGTATATAATACACATATATATGTATATATATATATATTATATATATACATATATATATATATATATATATATTATATTATATATATATATGTATGTGTGTGTGTTGTGTGTGTGTGTGTGTGTGTGGTGTGTGTGTGTGGTGTGTGTGTGTGTGTGTGTGTGTACAAAATATATATATATATATATATATATATATATATATATATATATATATATATATATATATATATATAGTATGAAGAGGTAGATAAATACGGCCGTGAAGAATCTCATCTTTATTGATTTAGCAGACGTTTCGAAGGATTACATGCCTTCATTATCAATGCTGTAATTAACCAGATAGAAGGGTCATTAGACTATGTAAAAATGAAAGGCGTTCTGGTTTTACAAAAACGTAACAGAATAAACAATATTAACGGAAAATATATACAAAAAAATATGAACACAATAGAAAAATATATAAAACATATTAAGAGACGTAAAATCAATGTTAAACTAACCAAAAAAAGGAGGTGTTTATGGAGATGAGCAGTCTAGTAGTGTTAAACTAACCAAAAAAGGAGGTGTTTATGGAGATGAGCAGTCTAGTGGGTAAACAAGGGGGTCGCTGTGGTTAAGTTGTTTAGCTCTGGTTGCATCTTTTGTATCAGGAGGATTCTGAGGTGATGAGGTCTAGGCGGGAGGAGTGAGATGACAAAATACTAAAATCTGTGGTAGAAAAAGGGTGTGAGTGTAACTGGGAATGCTCTCTTATTGCCGAGAAGGATGGTTTGCTCAGCGGGAGGCCAGTCTTGAAAGACTTGCCTTTATGTTCGGAGATGCGGTGACATAGCCATCGTGAGGTGGATCCCACGTACCTAGCTTGACAGCTAGGACAGGTAAATAAGTATACCACATTAGAACATAAGTCAGAGCTGTGATTTAAAGGATGTTTTAAGAACTTAGCTATTGTGTTGTTGTTACTAAAGACAAAGGTAAATTTAATCTGGGGGTAATTAATTTGCAAGAGCGTTTTTAACCGTTTTCTGATTTCAAAGCTTAGATCACCCATGTAGGGTAGTTTAACATATCTATGGTCTCTTTTAACCGTGGAGACAATTTGTTGATTGGTGAATTTCTTACGCAGAAAGGTTTTAGTAATTTTATCACACAACTGTAATGGGTACTCATTAGTAATAAAAAAGTTTTTCAGAAATAACAGTTCATTATGGAAGGCATTCCAGGTGCTACATAGATTGTTACTAAAATCACAACTATAGCCAACAACTCCTTTAGAAAATTATCTCAACAGAGGAGACAAGGTTTTGACTCCGATGTTCTCCTGTCACCACTTCAAACCCTTAAGAATGACAATACCATTGTAATTACTAAACCAGACAAGGGACGAGGAGTTGTTATTTTAAACAAATGTGATTATGAACAAAAGTTAATGGATATTCTCAGTGACAAAACAAAATTCAAACAAATCACGACAAAAATTTCCACCCATCTGTTATATTTAGAAGACAAACTAAATAGACTTCTTCATACTATCAAAGCATCCATTAACATAAACCCCTACAACTCTCTTATGACTTCTGGATCCAGACCTGGTGTTCTTTATGGACTACCCAAAGTTCATAAACCTAATATCCCTTTAAGGCCTATCATTTCCTCGATTGGCACTTTCAATTACAACACCGCAAAATTTCTTGTTCCCATCATCTCCCCTTTAACATCCAATCAATATACTATTGATAATTCCACATCCTTTGTTAAAGAAATCACGTCTCTGAACTTCCAACAACCCGTCACTATGGCGAGTTTTGATGTCGAGTCGTTATTCACAAACGTGCCTCTACAAGAGACCACGGAGTTGATAGCTAACAACCTGGACAATACTTATCTTGACAAATATGGTTTGGATACGATTACCTTCAAAAAGTTATTGGAAATCACTGCCAATCATTCAGTTTTTACGTTTAACGACTGCCTATATGCACAAACAGATGGCGTAGCTATGGGCTCTCCACTTGGCCCCTCCTATGCTAATGCATTTCTATGTCACCATGAGAAAAGCTGGCTTGATAACTGCCCGCCTGAATTCAAACCCCTACATTATCGTCGGTACATCGACGACACTTTCCTGCTCTTTAAGCACCCTTCACACATTATTCTTTTTCTAGATTACCTAAATGCCAAACACCCCAGCATCAAATTCACCTGTGAATTGCAAATGGACAACCAATTGCCATTTTTAGATACTATGATCACTAACAACAATGGTATCTTCCAAACTAGCATTTACCGTAAACCCACTTTCACTGGCCTCGGCCTACATTTTCTCAGTTACATCCCGTATATTTACAAAATCAATAGTGGGAAAACTCTTATAACTAGAGCCTACAATCTATGTAGCACCTGGAATGCCTTCCATAATGAACTGTTATTTCTGAAAAACTTTTTTATTACTAATGGGTACCCATTACAGTTGTGTGATAAAATTACTAAAACCTTTCTGTGTAAGAAATTCACCAATCAACAAATTGTCTCCACGGTTAAAAGAGACCATAGATATGTTAAACTACCCTACATGGGTGATCTAAGCTTTGAAATCAGAAAACGGTTAAAAACGCTCTTGGAAATTAATTACCCCCAGATTAAATTTACCTTTGTCTTTAGTAACAACAACACAATAGCTAAGTTCTTAAAACATCCTTTAAATCACAGCTCTGACTTATGTTCTAATGTGGTATACTTATTTACCTGTCCTAGCTGTCAAGCTAGGTACGTGGGATCCACCTCACGATGGCTATGTCACCGCATCTCCGAACATAAAGGCAAGTCTTTCAGGACTGGCCTCCCGCTGAGCAAACCATCCTTCTCGGCAATAAGAGAGCATTCCCAGTTACACTCACACCCTTTTTCTATCACAGATTTTAGTATTTTGTCATCTCACTCCTCCCGCCTAGACCTCATCACCTCAGAATCCCTCCTGATACAAAAGATGCAACCAGAGCTAAACAACTTAACCTCAGCGACCCCTTGTTTACCCACTAGACTGCTCATCTCCATAAACACCTCCTTTTTTTTTGGTTAGTTTAACATTGATTTTACGTCTCTTAATATGTTTTATATATTTTTCTATTGTGTTCATATATTTTTTGTATATATTTTTCCGTTTAATATTGTTTATTCTGTTTGTTTGTAAAACCAGAACGCCTTCATATTTTACATAGTCTAATGACCCTTCTATCTGGTTAATTACAGCATTGATAATGAAGGCATGTACTCCTTCGAAACGTCTGCTAAATCAATAAAGATG